ACTGTTACAACAGCCTGGCAGGTGAGCCGCGCCGCGCCCCCAGTCCCGCGGTCCCAGGTCTTTGGCCCGGTCCCTCCGCGGACCACTGCGGCGCTCCCGCGGTGCAGATTCTCCTGCTGTGACTGTGCTGCTCCTGGGAAGAACCTGGGAGGGAGGCGCTTTGGAAAAAGTGTGACTTTCAGGATTATGGTTTTCAAAGGCCATAGGCATCTCTTGTCCCTTCGCTAGCATACATCGTAAATCTCACCTAGAAATGACTGGATAGATAGAAGGGGACCCCGCTGGCCTGGCTATGGCTGCTGCTGTTACTGCTCACCAGTGGACCTGGGTCCAAAATGCGGAAGCAGCGCCCGGGGTGGGCCCCCGCAACCACCGCTAGCCCAGCTTTTTCCTGCGAGTGGGTCCCGAGGGAGGCCACGCACCTGTCTGCTCTCAGGTAGCATTAGCACCAGGACTTGTCCTCGCCTTTTCCCCAACTAACCGCATCCCTGTAGGTAAGATCTTCCCCAAGTTTTTTGGCCCCAGTAGCAAAGGGGAGTCTGATACCATGCCTTCAGCATCTTGAGCAAAATGGATTCCAGAATGCCACTTTCTTCTCTCTGAGCTCTGCTGGGGCTCCTGGTTGCCAGGTGAAGATCGCAATCTCAAAGGAAGCTTGGTTCATGGTTGGGCTTGAACTATGCTGCATTCTCCCTCTCCTCCCTGCCCCTTTCTCACTATGTGTAGCATCAGTCCTCTCGCCAGCTGGCTGCTAGGGGGTGAAGGAAAAGGGGGCCTTTCTCTTGGGCAAAGAAGGTGTACATTCCAACATTCCCTTTGGGGATAAGGGCCAAAATCAGGCATTTAAAAAATTTTTAATTTAGGCGCAGGAATATTTAAAGTCTCTCAAAAAAGGAAGAGTCTGGCTTGTGCCAGGGCCTTCCTGTGAGAAGGTGGGAGAGGTTGGCAAAGGCAACTTGAAAAGCATTCTCTACTCTTCTCTTGTCCCATTTGGTGAGATTTTGGCATGGTCAACCTTCTCTGACCAAATAAAGGGAAGTTCCTCCTAGTTCCTAACATGTGAGGTTGCCTAAACTGTCTATGGACAGTTAGAGCAGGGTAGGGGTGGAAGAGTGACTGGGTGTGGCAGAGGATGGTGAATGTGTATGAAGCCCAGGCAGTTAGGGGGGTAAAAATAAATCCTGGCAATTCTGCTGTGTTCTTAAATGCAGATCTCTCTGTTCCCTCTGAGGTTTCTAGTACCAACGTACCTCTGTCTTCTCGGAATGCCATGCCCAGTCTCATTTTTGATCAGGCTACGGAGGTACTTTGTAAATTGTAAAGTAGTTTACAGACTTAAAGGATTAATAGAGTAGTAGTAGCAGCAGTTGGAGGAATGGTGGTGCTAATAGCAATACTAGCAGTAATAGCAGCAGATAAAATTGTAGTACAGCAAAAATTGACTCTTTCAATTCATTATAAGATACAGCTTGAGTCTTTTAGTTCCCATAAGTCTCTGGCATACTGGCTGCTGCCCCATGAATAGTTAAAGGGCAGAGCACCATGGGTGGAGGAAGAGGCACTGTGGATTGCTAATGCGGTGACTTTGGAGTGGTAATGGAGTCTTATATTTAGTCAGTATTATCCATGGACATTCTAGGGCTGCCAGCCAGTGGCTAGCACTGCCTGCCCTCCACCCTAGACGTGGTTACATTTCCACGGTGAAATCAAAGATGTGTCCTTGGTCAGGCCAGCCCAGTCAGGGTGGGGCTGAAGTCTGGACAGCTCCACCACTCCCATCCTCACCTCACACACTGGAAAACTTCAACAGTGAGAGAATGGAAAGTAGCAATAGCAGATTTTCCCCTCTGCTGCCTTCTCCAGTGCTCACCACTTATATTAATAATTAATTGTGTGTGCTGTTAGGCATCCTCCATACCTTGTCTCTTTAAATCTTTATAATCTGTATAAAAGAAATATGATCATCAGTTTTGCAGAGAAAAAGCTCAAGGCTCCGGAGCCATTCTTCTCCAAAGGCAATGTTCTTGTCATCATACTTTGATACACAAAGTCAGCATCCTCTGGTCCTCTGTCTCACTTGAGCCCAGTTTCAGGTGGGCTCCAAAGCCTTGCACTTTGGAAATTCCTTTGGGAGATCTCAGGCCTGGTAACCAGGAGAAAGAAATAGAATACTTTGATTCAAGGCTCTAACTGGCTATTTCCAGATGTCAAGTTTCACAAAAGAAAGAAAAGAGTGATTATAAGCAAAGCAGTCTTGTCAAAACCAAAATCTGTATCCTGTATAGAAAATTGAGCTAGGAGGATGGTTCCACTTAAAAGTCACTCTGGGGAGAAGTAGAAGCCTTACGTTTGTTTCCTTCAGGGCTATGTATAAAATCAGTGATGACTATTTCAGAAGTCCTAGCTAATAAGAAAATATCCCTTTTGGTTAGATTACAAAATAATGCCTGTAATATGTATTTTCTTTTGTAAAATACTAAAACATTTAAAGAAGAAAATACGCAATTACCTGTAATCCAGTTAGAAACCCATTGTGGTGTATTTCCTTCCTGTATTTTTTTCTGTGAATAAATGTAAACAGTTTACAAAGCTGAGGTCCTTCTGTGTATACAATCAGGTATCCTGCTTTTAATCCCGTTTACTTATGTCAGCAGCATTTTTCACATTTCGTGAAAATATTTTCATGAAGATTATTTTAAATGGCAACAGAAAAGTTTTAATGTGTATTTATACTTCTCACTGGCTAGAAAGAAAGGAAAGATGATCACTGGTATTGCTGTTAGAGCCAGAACAGTGCAGCATGGCCCATGAGATATCTTTTCCCTTGTGTGCCTGCTAAAAGGAAGGAGACCAGCAACTGGAGGTTTATTCTGGAAGAAAGGCAGTTGACCCTTCCACCAGGGTTGCAGCACCAGCTGAGTAGCCCAACAAGCTCCAGGTTCTGGGGCAGTCTGAATATATTTAATCAAGGATCTGTCCTCCTTCTACACAAAGCTGTGTATGGAGAGAGAGGACTGGGTTTTAGGAGGAAGTTGGACTACTAGCCCAGAAGTACCTGGAAAATTAAGCTGTGTTGCTAAGGGCATCGCTGCTCCAAACAAGAGGTGGTTATGAGGCTTCTGGAGTAAATCTAGGCTCAGTAAACCCTTGTACTCCACATGGAAGCCTCCAAAAGAATAGCAAGGGGACAGCTAGAATGTGCTAAGAGATGTTGGTCTAAAAATCCATTTAGATGACTTGAGGGGACACATGAAGGATGTGCAGGCAATTTGCAAACGGCTCCAGGTTGTGGTCTCTTCTGGCTGAGATTTCTTTTTGGTTGGAAGGGATCTGACCAGTTGTGCTGGGCCCCTGGATGTGATTTTTGTGTATCTTATTTTCCAAGAAATTCAAAGAAATAGGTGGGGAGCATTCTGTTTCTACAGAATTTCAGGTGATCCTGATACAATGGTTAGAAAAGATAGCCTGACCTTCCTGGGGAGACATAGGAATCTGATCTTTACAGAGCCTACAGAGGAAGCATGTATTGGCCTGTTGATGGACTCTTCTTGACATTGAACAAGATACAGAACTCCCCTGGGGCCTTGGAATGTTCTGTGTAGGACCCTTTGAAGGGCAGAGCCTTTTGCCCTACATTGGTTCCTGTGGGGCTGTGGTGGCCCTAGCTGAAGTATGATCAAAGGGATATAACACACAATGATTTTGCTGGTATCTTCAAATGATATTCAAGGCCAGCAGTAGAGATGGAAATCAACAAACCATGGCATTGGACCTGAAGGCTAGGAGCTTGTGTCTCTGTCCCTAGGATACCTTGTGACCTTGGATAAGCCCCTGCCATTTTATTTTACCTTCATTTTCCCATCTACTGAGAGCTATGTTTAGGAGATTTTTGTTGATCTTACCAAAGGGGCACCTAATATCCATTGATCCCAATTGAAGCCTTGGGATAGGGATATGGGAAGGCCTAGAAGGAAGTCACACTGGGAAAAGGCCTGGGATGGTGCTGGTTTGAAACAAGCTTTTCAATGCTTGTGGACATGTCTTAAAGCCATGGGATCAGAGCCAGCCACATAATTTGCAGGGCCCAGCGCAAAATGAAATGTAGGACTCTTTGTTGAAAAGGCAGGCAGGAAGTGTTGCTGACGATCCTAAAAGATAAAGCTTTTTTCTTTCATTCTTTCTCTCGACTTGACATGGTGCTTTGTATTTGCTATTTAATGTCATTGCAAATAAAAAAATTTAAAAATTTAATTATTAGCATAGATTTTACTATTCTTTATATTGTGTGGTGCCAGTTTTAAATGAACTTACAGGAACACTTTACTTACATGAGGAATTATAAAAATTATACAATTTATACTTCTGTAGCTCCTACATGCATATGTATTTATTCTTACTAGAACAGTGGAAATGCTGCACCAAATAAACTGAACTATTTTTATTTCCCTTTTTTATATGTATACTTTATATGCATACTTCATATGTGCACTTTCTACCAGGCTTTCAGATGAGCCAGGAAACGAAAAGGGACTACACGTGACCCTACCCTTTCCTTCTGTGTCATCATTTTCAGCATGAGTGGTTGGCTAATATGGGAAAGCAACATAGGTAGGAAAGGATATGATAGGGTTCCTAGATTATTTGTGTTTCTGAGAACTTTTTTTTTCCACGTTTGAAGCCATTTCTAGTTTGAATGGAAAGAATTGTCCTTTGGGACTGGCAGCATATTCACTTGGTTATGGGAGTAATTAAGTCTTGATGAACTCTCACGCATCGTGGGGCTCCTAGAATTCTTTGCTCATGGGGCGTCGTGAATGCTGTATGCAAATGGGGCAGCAAAGAGTGGCATTGTGCCCATCTTCTCTGTCCCTGCTCACTCTGTGTTGTCCCATCAGACTTCACTTAAACAAATCGCAAGCTTAAAGATAAAGCGACTAAGAATTTCAAGAAGGCAATAGCAGGTTATTAAATGAAGTGCAGGTTCCTTCTGAGTATGTGGCTCTATGCAACAGCGCAAGTTG